TTGAGTTCACAATGTGCCAAGCACTATATTAATTCATGTACATCAATAAAGAGATCTTACTGTTCCCTTGAAATTGGCCATGTCCCCTTTTCATAGACCCTGACTTATCCAGGACCCAGTCAGAGATGTGTTCCACTGCCTAGAATGTGTGGAGGGATTCTGAAGCTTGTCCAGGAAACTCGGCTGGCAGGTTCCATGTATTTGCTGTTCCCTATTCTCAGGTCATTTTAAAAATGAGGAAGAAAGGGCATCTTTTGAAATATACCACTTGTTTCTAAGAACAGAATTGCCTATTTTGGTACTTGGAATCATTGGTGGTTTGAAAGCCCTAAGCAAATGCCGTGTTTCCATTGTACAGACGAGGAGAAGATCTTTTCATGTGTATGGACATACAGCTGGTTGAGGCATTGTGTGGCTTCCAGAAGCCAATATCTACTCTTGACAACCGAACCATAGTCATCACTTCTCATCCAGGTATGTTAACTAGATAAGTGTTTCTTTCTATTCTGGTGTTCATTGCTAGTAGCTAGTATAGGCATAGAGGAAAGTGGCGTTTCAGTATTGCTCAGAACATAACCATCCTTGAGCTGAGCTGAAATTGGGCATTCTTGACTCTTTTGTGAGCCCCTAGAAAATCTATAAATGAAATTATAGAAACCAGGATTGTTTCACATAATGTATTCCTGTCAGTGAGCTAGGATGTTTCTCTGTTCTTTATTTTCCCTGTCTCATAAAAATATGATTGTATTCAAGGAGTTTGGCTTTAATGTTTCTAGGTCAGATCGTCAAGCATGGAGATATCAAGTGTGTGCTAAATGAAGGCATGCCAATTTATCGTAGGCCATATGAAAAGGGTCGCCTAATCATTGAATTTAAGGTAAGCTTAATACTTCAGAAATGTTTGAGGATGATTAGCTTATTAAAATTGGTAAGTTTCTGGATTGCCGGACGTGTCAGATTTATATTCTCCTTTGTCTAAATCTAATATTTTTCCTGTCATGTTGAACATTCTTTGTATCAAGTTGGTTTATCTGCATCACTGTGGCAGGGAAGGGGATGCATCGCAAGTGGGTATTTTACTAATGAACGGCTATCACTAGTATCTTTAAAGTACAACAGAAGCATGTTAGCTAGTGTGGATTTCTGACAAAATACTGTAATGCTCTGGTTCTTAAAGCAATCCAACCATTTCCCTTAACCTTAAATTGAGTCACCTCAGACCCACAAATTTAACATTTTAAAAATTGCTTTCTGGTTAAGAATAGTTTTCTTTAAATATCCATTAAGAAGAGTTAGAGTGTGTTTTAGGCTGGGTTCTGTTAAAATATATTTGCTGAATAGAAATGATAATTACAGTGCAGTTACTATTTAGTAGGGTTTTAAGACTTTACTTTGAACTTAGGTTCAGAATAGTAGATGATTTGACCATTTGTTCTAACTAACCTGGGATTGGCCAATTTACCAAATAATTGTGTGGTTACAAGTGTGTGTTCTGGGGAAAATGGATCAATGATAATGTGTCTAAGGAGGAATGAAATAAATCATTTAAACTTCATTTTATAGGTAAACTTTCCTGAGAATGGCTTTCTCTCTCCTGATAAACTCTCTTTGCTGGAAAAACTTCTGCCTGAGAGGAAGGAAGTAGAAGAGACTGATGAAATGGACCAGGTAGAATTAGTGGACTTTGATCCAAATCAGGAAAGACGGCGTCATTACAATGGAGAAGCATATGAGGATGATGAACATCATCCTCGGGGTGGTGTTCAATGTCAGACCTCTTAGTAGGCCTGTGAATAACACTCACTGCTGGGGTTTTATTGCAGTAGTGATTGAGTGAAGGACTATAATCATAATATGCTCACTACTTGCTTTTGTTTTAATATTCAACTATAGTAGTGTTTAAAAGTTAAATGAAGAATAAACTCGAATATAAAAGCTCTGACTTTGCCCTGTATGTATGATGACTTCAGTGTGCAAGATAAGTCTAATACTTGTAAAAACTTTAAAAAATTACCCCTAGCATTTGTTAGGACATACTTTGTAATTGATTTCAGCTATGTACATGGAATAGCTTAGACTGAAATGCCAGGTATATGTATTGACTTCAGTGTATGACTCTTAATTGTTAAGCTATGAAATTAAAACTGTGTTTAACTGGCAGTCAGACAAAGAAGTTAATGTAGAGAAGTGTTGGTTTGTATAGTTGTAGTAAGTGGGATTCATTGTGATGCTTCTGCATTTATTCTATTGCCTCAACTGTTATTTGAAGATGGCATGTTGTATAATTTAGCCTCGGGTATCAGTGATAGAAATGATACCTTTGTCAAGAAGGGGTTTATCATAACATGCTGCTTCTTGAGGGCTTGCACTTGTAGAATTGCATTCCCTTCTTCTGCTGTGCCATCTTTTATTAATATATATAGCTATTGGTCCTGGTTACTTTTTTTGCCACTTCTCCCCCCACCCCCACCCCCCCTCTTTGGACCACAGTAAGCCTTAGAATAGTGACTTCTGGAGCAGGGAAACTTAGAGGTTAGAGTGATGAGACCTTTACATGGAGAAGTAATTTGCATGTATGAGCTAGGAAGGTGTTTTTGTAGGTATGTTACAGGCTTACTTTAAACCATTTAACTTATGCTCCAGAGTAACTGTAATTTAATGTTGGTAGTATAGCAAATTATGATGAATAGCTTTAATTGTATGTTTAAAGTCATATGTTCACAAGCTTAAATCTGGTATCAGAATTTAAGCAATTCTTGAAATGTATGAATGTCTCTTTAATATACTGATTACAAAGCATGTCCAGTGTGTCACCACAGGCTTTTTTTTCCCAGGTTACAGCATTGGCTTTTCACTAGTTTAGTTAAATGAAACTAGTTAATCTTAAGTTAATAACACCAAAAAAATACTGCTAAACAAGGGTGGGGAGTGAAAGTGGAGGGATGAGTAATGAGCAACAAATGGGATTGGGGGGGATGGGCCTTAAAAATTTTTGCAAACACTGAAATGGAATGCGAGTTTTTGCTTGTTCTACTCTGATTCTATATCTCTTGTAATCAGGAGCCTTAAACAGTTCTAACATGGACGTGTGTGTCACAACCTAACTTCCCCTTACAGCACTTGAGGTAGAACAGACAAACTCGTGTGAAGTGCCTATTTCCCACACATTCAGGTTTCCTCTCACACTGACAGTCTTAATTGATAGCCTCTCCCCATTCTAATATTCTTGTGTTATCCCTCTTAAATCTGTGGTTTAGAAAGGTAAAGTATTGGTCTAAAAAACTCCACGATAAACCTGTCTTATAAGACATTTTAAAAATTATAAAAATCGTTATATGAGGCTTTAATTAATATTTATTAGTCATGAGGGAAATAAAATGAAAATTCAGTGAAATATACCACTTTGTACCTAGTAACCAAAATGGAAACAAGTGAGAATAGGAAGAAATATGAGAACCGTGTACCTTATTGGTGCTTCAGCATCAGTCCTGAACATTCTATTAGAGGGACAGATGCTGAAGCTCCAATACTTGGGCCATCTGATGCAAAGAACCGACTCATTGGAAAAGACCCTGATGCCGGTGTTTTAACAGGTGAATGAACAAAATGTGTTATGTATGTCTTTGTGACAGAAAGGCCTTACATTTATGTGAACTATCTAGGCAGATTCATCGCGCACAGATTACCAAGGGCTGGGAGGGATGGAGACTTAGTTTGAAAACAATGATGGTTGCACAACAGTTAATAAGGTTAGTGCTGCTGAATTATACATACTCAAAAACTGTTGAGTAAGCTTTTACCTTAGTTTGACCACAGTAAAAAAACTCCAGACATCACTAGAAGAAAATAGTAATAACCTGGAGAGGCAGAAACTGACAGGTTTGTAGTCTGTAAAAACAAACACCGAAAGTTCTTTTTTAATTCTAGCCAAGGTCATCAAAGAAATAGTGCATTCACAGAAGTGTAGCCCCCTGGCCCAGCCCTAATGCCTCCTTAATGATGCTCCCCCTGTCCATTCATACTTGCAGGGAATAAAAAGCTAATTTTATGTCCCATGAGGGTCTTAGTAGATGGAACATGGTGACAAATCTTGTGAAGTTAGCATTAGATTTCGTCATGTGTATAATGCTGGCTCTCAATCTTGGCCACAAGTTACCTTGGAATCTTTAAAACATGATGTGTCTCAGGTATTTTGGTACAGTTGAGCTATGTGCAGCGTAAGCAACCAGGATGGTTATATACAGCCAAGGCCATACACCACCACCATGGGGATATACTTAAATCACCAGAACAGTAATACCATTGTTAGAATTGCTGTGTGGAGAGTCAAAGTATGGCAGCCCTTGCTATAGCAAGTCTGTTCCAAACTGAGGGAGCTTCCTATCTTAAGACATACTGGTAGTTTCCTGTTTTGAAATAATGTGGGGAAAGGAAGCATAGGTTCTAAAGGCACAGTAAGTAAAACATGTTTGAGCAAAGTACAGCAATAATGTTGCTTTTCCAACAGTATCACTTCACTTGATTATCTCAGCCACCTTCAAAGACCAACAGAACAAGTATTGAAACACCTGCCTTAAAAATGTTGAAAAGGACCCCTGGTCTACTTACTGGTTCTCAAGTTTGCACATGCTTGCTGAACCCCACTGCTGTATTTGGATGTTCTTTCTACTCCTCTCACCGCCTGTGTTCAGATAAGTCAACCAAATGTGGAGAAACACCCATGGATTCTTTGCCTCTATCCAAACCTTAAGATGGAAGAAAATGTGTGTGAGCTCTAGGAGTAGGTGTAAAACCTTTGGCAACCTGTTTCTTCACTTGTATCATGGGACTCAGAATAGGCTGGCGCTCATAAAGCAGTTCTGAGAAACAACACTGCTCACATAGGAAGGACTCAGGAAATAGTGGTAGAAATACAAGCTGAAAAATAACTAGTTAACAGAACACTGAATTATACCTAAGACTCAAACAACTGCTGTGAAATACTAGGTCATTAAATGTTTTTACAGAGTCATTACTGGAACAATTGAGTGGGAGATGGAACAACTCATAAAGTTAACTTTTTGGGGGGCAGGGGTTGACTTGAATGCCATATATTTTGAGTTTCTGGCTTCCCAGCTAGTGCAGTGATAACCAGCCAATGCAGGACACCCAAAAGATGCAGGTTCAATCCCTGGGACAGGAAGATCCCCGGGAACAAGAGATGGTAACGTGCGCCAATATTCCTGACTGGAAAATCCCATGACGGAGCCTTGAGGGACCCAGTTCATGGGGTCCCTAAGAGTTGGGCATGACTGAGCAGGCATATGTGCATTTTGAGTTCCCAGTGCTAGAGAGGAGTGTGAAATACATGGGCTGTAGTAGCTCTCTAGGAACCCAGGTTGGGGGTGCTGGGTTGGGGGTGGTGCAAGCAAGGGCCCAGGAGCCCTTCTTCCCACACTGCTCAGCCATGCCCAACCTAAGTCCTCCACCACCTCTGCCTCTCCCCAGGGCTCCCCCTGCCTTCCGTACTGGAGGAGATGACCAGGAAGAAGGGACTGGAAGAAAAAACTTGGGAAAGGCATATTTTTCCTCCCCAGTTTTGTGCATTAACTTCCTTAAGAAAATGTACTTACTGGCCTGTTTCTAGTCCTCTCTGCCTGGTCTCCCTGGACCTTAGATTTGTGCAGCACATGCCTTGCACCGGTGGCACACTGCAGGGCCTGGAAGGGGCCCCCCCCTAAGATCATCAAAGCCCTTGACCTTGAGCTCTTGATGGTCCTTTGCACAGTCTACTCCAGAAAACTTTTCCTAAGCCATTAGATCTGGATAATGCTTCCCCAATCATCAAAACAACTCTGGATTTCCTCTTATCAACCACTAATCCTGTTATCTTGCTTCTTTTCCCCTATCCTGTGGCAGAAATTGGTCTTTTTAACCATCCTGAGCATTAGATGCAAGAGCAGAAGAGATGTTTGCTAAAAATTCCTAGAAGAAATAAGTGTACCAGTGCTGACTAGATTCTTGCTATGAGCCTTGGCACAAAGAATGCCTCTCAACTGCCAGTTCATGAGGTCATGGGCTAAATCAAACTGGTTTCTTGGTTTTTGTAAGGAATGGTTGCATGAGTTCTTTTCTCTCCACCTTAAACTTCTTTTACTTGAGTGAAAGCTGCTCTTCACTGAGAGGAATGGTAGGCTACAGTCATGTAGACGCATGGCTATGGTTCAACTCGCAAAATGACACCAAAGGACATTCTGGGGAAAAGTTCACGTTTTGTGGTAAAAAGACCAAATTTGGGGAGTGTAACTGGGAAAGATGGATTTCAGCCATCTTTTCAGCCAAAGAATTATTCAGCCAACATTTTTACATGCTGCTAGGCATTGCTTATCTTTAATACAGATAAGGCTGTATTTCAAGTGACAAAGGTTTTTAAGACTGCAAAATTCTCCTCACTCACCTGTACCTACTAATTGGCGAAATTAAAGGGCATAAAAGGCCTCCATAAATAAGCTCACTTTCTTGAAAATGGTACCCAGCACAGTATCTTCACACATCAACATAGGCATTCCACATACATCGGGTGAAACAGAAAAGACCCACATGCAAAATATTGCTGAGTTTTTGTTTTGTAAATCTCTTTTCTAATTTTTTTTTCATTAACAGCAGCACATTTTCAATGCAAAAACCCTCCTCTGCATACAAAGGCGATATGACAACTGAATTCTCATAGTGGATCCTGCAATTAGTTAAGAAAAAAATGAATGCCCCGGGGAGGGCAGTGAAATGACATCCTGTGGGAAACCGATTTCAGGGATAATAGTGTAGTGTCCCACCCTCTTCATGTATTTACATTTAAAAACAAAGCCTCCAGAAAGGTGTAAAGTTTATTAACATGTTAAAAAAAAAAGGTGGGACAATAAAACAGCTAGTGAATTTGGGATAGTTCCTTATTTACAAGTTTTACTGCAAGAAGCCCATTTCAATCAAAGCATTTCGAATAATCAAAGGATATGCTCTCCGCATAAAAGATTGACAGCATTAAGTGACTGCCCCAGTTAGAGTGAATACCTTAAAAATATATAAAAAATGGTAACTGCTACTTAAACATGAATTTTCACAAAATTATTCTTGTGCCTAATTCAGACGATTTGTTTAGAAAAGCTGGCCTTAAAAAAAAAAAAGCAACACATGAGTATGTCTTCATTTTAAGTACATGCTCTCAAACTAGTTTAAAAAGAGAAGCTGAATTAGGGTTTCCAAAGCTTTAGCAATCCATCTTCACTGTAAGTAGCAATCAGGTTCTGATGAGGGTGATGTGCAATACCAATCACATCCTTCTCGTGAACCTGGAAGAGGGAAGCACAGAATCAGGGTACAGAGGTCGCTAACAAATCACTGAAGAAGCTTCCAAAGAGCTGAACGGTGGGTAAGAAGAGTGAAGCTTCTACTTCTTACCAAAGGAATCAAACCTAAGGGAGCCTCAGAGAGGGTTAAACACACAAACCAAAAACTCAAAACGAGGTTATCAGATGGCTGATCACATTTTCTGTACTGTTCTTCAAAATGTGTGTATTACACTTTATGCCAAACCACTTTTGGTACTACAGCTTGTCCCAGTCATCATCCATTTTGCAAATATTAGGCCAAGACAGTGGCTGAGACTGAACAATTCCTTCAACCGAATGAATTCACTATTTTCCTCAGCTAGAGGACACTGGCCACCTCATTCTGTTTTGTTCACATCTTTGCTCTCTACTGGAGGAGGCTTCACAAGGCTGGTGTACCAAAAGTTCACTCAACAACAGTTTGAGATGAGATGATTTCTCTTAACAGGTATGTTTACAATTTTTTTTATACATTCACCAGACCATTTCTTCTTCCCAGCTGTAGATGACTGCATTTTCCCTGTCCACTTCTTTGCATTTGGGCTGTTGGCAGCACTAATTCTAATCAAAAAAGAATGATGGACAGAATAATATAAACCACTTCCAGATGTGAGTCTTTAAAACATCCAGTATGACCCCTTCAATTATCTTTTCTCCTAAGACTTAGAGGCCACATTTCCCAAATGGCACAGCTAAAAGATGGAGGAGGAGGATGCAATTTACATCACATTGTGACATAATATTCATTGTGTTAGGCCACTGAAATTTGAAGAGTGTTACAGCAACTGCATTAATTATTCCTTGTTACTAACTCAATGCTGCTGAAAAAAATCATTAATCAATTTGACAAGTAACTAGCCTTTGAAAGCACATGCAGAGAACTAGCTTCTATCTGTCACTCTCCAACCACCCTGAGGAGGTTTAACTATAGCTGGCTAGACAGGCACATTCCTTTTCCTCCTCCTTTTATGTGTACACATCCTGCCCACTAGAAGCTGAGGGCTCACTGAAGGATGACTTTTCCAGATACAGGAGGTAATTCCATACAATTACTTATGGGCCCTTTATTTTACTTAATGACACTTTTACATATTTTTACATCAAGATTCACAAGAACAGCAGTCCGAAAAAGGTTTACTTCTGAGTTCAGAAAGATAAGCATTAACGATTTCTGTAGATGGCCTTAAGTCAGTAATACTTACTGTCAGCGTTCTCTCCAGCTTGCCAGTGACGGTGCTGAAGCAGTAGAGCACAAAGTCCTCCCCTACACAGTAGATCCATTCGCCACGGGGGGAGAGGGCACAGCACACAAAGTCACCACCTTCTCTCTTACCGGAGCTGAAGCTTCTGACAATCTAAGCACAACACAGCCCCAAGTAAAGACATTGGATTAGCAGTAGTTCCGCTGCAGCAGGGGAAACGTCTGACAACTTTATGTTATTTTGTACTCTGGTTTACTGTCATTTACAATTAGATTACCAATTCCATTCACCATGTGCTAAATCCTCTTGACTGGAAAATACACAAAAGAGAAGCTATTGTAAGTCAGTGTCGGACAGAAATTTACACTTTCCATATCCCAGGTCACCAATCCTACTCTAATCTATTGAGCCATTTTATCCTGAAGCAAATTTGTTACCATACACAACTGCCTAAATCAACATGCTACTGGTTCTCAATGCTCTGTGACCCATCCCCCCAGTTTCCTCTTTCTAACAGAATGAGATGCCCTCCCCATTCATAATGGAACTCTATCTCTTGAAGACCTTGCTTGATCTATTTTACATACCACTTAAATCATCATAAATCAAGTGGAGAGAAATCAATCTCAAAAGGTTTAAAGGTTACATATTGTGTGACTTATTTACTATACTCAAAATGAAAGAGTAGTGTCAAACAGCTCAGTGGCTGCCAGGGGCTAGGGTTGTGAGGAGAAGGATTTAACTACAAAAGTACAGCACAAGGCACTTTCTTTGAGGGTGATGAAACAGTTCTATACCTTAACTGTGGTGGTTACATAAATCAAAATGAGAAACGAGATGAAATTTCACAGAGCTGTTCACGTCCCACCTCAAGATGAATGGATGTAAAGACAATCTAAATAAGGCTCATATTTGAGTTAATAGTCTTGTACCTGGTTTTGATGTCAATTTCCTGGTTTTGATAATGATACAATGGCTATGTAAGATGTTATCATTGAGGGATGCAGGGGAAGGGTGTATAGAAACTCTGCCCTGTTTTTGTAACTTATTCATTAATCCAAAAAAATTTAACTTTTTTTAAAAATTTAACTTTTTAATTAAAAAGTCAAGCAGAGGCACCCTCCACCCCTCTTCTGATGTCTATGTCAGAAGCTTTCTCTCTCCTTTTTTTACTTTAATAAAACTCTGCTACACACAAGCTCTTGAGTGATCAAGCCTGGTCGCTGGTCCCGAAGCTAAGTCTTCTTTGGAGATCATTAATTCGAATCATTCACCGTAAGCTATCATCTTGGGGGCTCGTCTGGGATCTTCAAAACAAGGTAAGGAACTCAGAGCTCTAGCCTGCCTGTTCTTTTAGTGTCCTTTTCCTTTACTAACCACGGCATGCCTGTGTGTGTGACTGACTGAGAGCCTGAGATTCAGAAAGAAGTACAAAGCAAGCATACTAAGCAGAGCCCTGCTCTGTGGTTTCAGGGTGCCTCGTAATGACTTAAGGCTGCTCCAAAATGGGGAGCTTTGTCAGGGGCTTATACTGACTTGCCAATGCCAAAAGGCACGCAATGTCCCTGTGAGAGGAGCAGCCAGAAATGAGCGAAGCATGTGGACCAAACTCCCCTTTCTCAGTCACCTTTTCCTGGTCTCTTTGACCATTCCATAACTGCCTGGGGAATTAGAATCACTAACCTAATCAGCTGGATCATAGACTTTCAAGGGACTTGTGATCCATGTTATTACTGTGTACTTTTACTTAGACCCCAAGCTTGGAATAATCATGAGAACCCAGACTTGCTAGGAGCACATTCGGGAATGAGGTGGAACGAACTCTAGCTTCAGCAGCATCTCTCTCGGCTGCTTCCATATGGGGCCAGAGTCCTAAAAGCGAGTCCTTGTCATAGCTGTGCCTCCAAACGCTATATGGATGGAAGTGCTGCTGGCAAGCATGAGGTTTCTAAGAACCTAGAACCTAAGTCAGGAATCCCAGATTGAAAGTACAGTGGGCTACTTCCTTTGTAAAGGAAGAAAAGGCTAATGACGTTATTAAGAGGCATTGCATAAGCTAACTCAGCAAACACAAGGTAATTGGTTTAAAGTTTTACCCATAGCTTTAATGAGGGCTCAAATGCCCCTAGGAAGTGACTGTCTCTATGGCAGACCATTTTTGTGCACCAATATTGTTATAGATACTGAAGCCTTAGAATTTACTATGTGACTCAGCTTTCAATCTTACAACAGACATTACGAGAACTCTGGCAGGTGACCCCTGATCCAGTCTCCAAAATTGGTCTAATTGCTAGATCTGCAAAATGCTCTCTTCATCACTGGAAGGCTTCACGTGGTGGGTTTCTCTGATTCAAGGAAAGGACTTTCTTCAGTTATTAACCAACAAAAATCATGTGACGCTTCTTAATCTGAAGACATCTAACAACCCTAAAATGGACTGGTATAACTCACTGTACCTTAACTATGGACATAATGTGACTTTTAATTCTGATTATGTTTTAACTTGGTTTAATGACTATTTTGCCTTACATCTGTGACTGTATAATGGGATTTGTTTCTAGCCGTCTAAAAGCTTTTAGGTTACAAATGGTTGTTCATGCCGATACAACTTCTACAACCTCCTTCAACTTGGGGTTCCTGGATTAGAAACCCTTAATATGCAGATTAGGAGAATATGTTGCCTCAACCATTTAGGCACAATGCCCCCACCCCAACAGGAAGTAGTTATGGAATGCAAATGCCCCCTTTTTTCCTTGGCAACATAATTCTCCTAAAAGAAAAAGGGGTGAATGACAAAACTAATTCTTAGGTAGATTGATAAGGAGTCCAGGGTCCTCAAAGGAGGGAAGGGGTCCAGGGCTCTCAAGGAGGAGAAAAGGACAAACTTTTTTTTCCCCCTACATTTCTTCATCTTAGTCCCATAAAACGTTTTTTCTTTAAGCCCAGAGCTAATGGCTCAAGGGTTATGTTCTTCCTTAAGCTCTGTACTAATGATTATATAAGAACAATGTATCTCCTTCTTAACAAGAACTTGCTGACTAATCTTGTAATGTTAAGATGTATGTTGTGGGGAGTGGGTCTGGTAAGATCTCTCTATTGTTAGTTCTAATCTTGTTAATTTAAGATTTATGATGTGGGAGTGGGTCTGGTAAAAGTATATAAGGTCTTGATAAGACTACACTCGCCATCCCCTTTCTGATGTCTGTGTCAGAAGCTTTCTCTGTCCTCTTTATACTTTAATAAAACTCTGCTACACACACAAAAAAAAGTCAAGCAGAAAACTAGGAAGTGGGCAGCTGTGGCTATTATGCAGTGTCCCAGCAGTACTGAGGACCAGCCATCTCAACCATGGGTTCGTCACCACCAATTTACCTTTTATAGGGACTCAAGCAATGGAAAGACAGTTCCATACACCAGCCCCTGGGTCTTCTCCATGCTCAGCAAGATCCCCAAGTACCCAGGTCAACATTTCAGTAGCATCACAACACATCCAAGGGCTTGAGACCTCAACTTTGATACTCCTCATGTCCCTGGTGCTACAAAGTGCGGTTCTTTGGGAACCAGCAGGTGTGCTGATTACGAACACACATCATGAAGACACTGTTGCTCTTCTCCTACTGGAGTTCCACCTTAGATCATATGGTAGCTAACAGATATCCCAAACTCTTAATCCACACACTGTGTCTCCTTCCCTCACAGAGGAATTGTTATACCTTAAAATCTTCAGTGAGGTTCTGAAGAAGATTTAAAGACAGACCAGGGGACTTCCCTGGTGATCCAGTGGTTAAGAATCCCCTGCCACCTGCAGGGGACACGGATTCAAACCCTGGTCTGGGAAGATCCCACATGCTGAAGGGCAACTAAGCCTGTGTGCCACAACTACTGAAACCTTGCTCCATAGCCTGTGAGCGGCAACAACTAAAGCTCAGCTGCTCGAGCCTGCACTCCACAACAAGAAGCCACCACAGTGAGAATCCTATGCACTTCAACTGGAGACTAGCCCCTGCTCGCCACAACTAGAAAAAGCCCATATGCAGCAATGAAGACCCAGAGCAGCCAAAAAACAAACTAAAAAAAAAAAAAAGGAGAATTTAATTTATCCAAAGGATGCAAAAGAAAGACCATAGTATACAAACATCCCAGGAAAAGGAGCTAACTTTTGAGATGCCAGAAAGATGCTTTGTAGACAGTAGAATTTAAAATTTAAATAAGTGTCTAAAAAACAGTATATCTGGTTTTCTGAATCATGAACTGATACCTGATACTTCACTGAAAGTGTAGGACCAAGTCTCTCTGACTAGGGACCTGCCCACAGGGCCCGAGGAAAGGCACATTCTGAGCACTCACCTGTCCCTGCATGTTCATGATCACCACTGTGTTGGATCTATTGCAAACCACAAAGTGCTCTGGGTTCTTAGGAAGCAGGATCACACTGTTGACAGTGATGTCTGTCCCAGCAGTGCTGCCCAAGGATTTAAAGGTGTTTGAACATTCTGTGGTCTTCATGTTCCAGATCTACAACACCAAAATATAAGGCATAAACATTTAGGGGTGGAGATGCAGCAATTTCTAAAGTCTTGGGGTTGAGAATAAAGTTACTTTAAAAGAAAAAAAAAAGGATTAAAAAAAAAACTTCTTATAGTCCAAATACCTAGCATTGCCATATACAAAAGAACTCCCCTATTTGCTGATTAACTGATAAAAACAACAAAAACTCAGAAAGCTAAATAATAAAACTCTTTTAAAATTTATTATCTTTTCCTAAAAAAAAAAAAAAATTTATTATCTTTTCCTATAAAATTTCCCTTGGCTAACAAGCTTCCTAACTTTGAAATTAGCTATGTGTCAACACTGCTACTGTCATAAACAACCAGAAAGCTACCCGGTCCCAGAGGTTTTTAAAATTTATATACTCAGGATGCTGAGATTCAAATTTGGTGGGTCTAGTGTGGGATGTATGTAGCTTTGTGTATTTTTTAAAAGCTCCACAAATGATTCAGTTTGTACTGAGAACCACTCCACAGAAGTCACAATGTCAACAGCCACAAGCAAGGACCTGTGAGGCGAAGGCTACTCTTGGCCACTTGGATGCCCTCTCCCAGTCCGACACCTCTTCTAATAGTTCTCCACTCTAGTGCTTTTCACCTTGTCCTTCTGCACTATTATGAACTGACACAGATAAATCGGACATCGTAGTTACTGAAGTCTGAGACATGCTTAGAGAAGGGATGAACCAACTGTAGCCTGTGTCTGGACACCACATCGTGAGCAGTGATGATGTAAAAACCTCAAAGGCATGACTACGCTGTGTTTCTTCTGTGCCTTCAATGGAGCCTAGCACAAAATGGATGTTGAATAAACACCTAGAGAAAGGAGGAAATAGTTGCCTCACTAGTTGTCTCAATATTTATTTCCTTAATAAATACTGTATCATCTCCCCCAATCGCCTCTCTAAAGCTCAGCAGCCTAGGAGAGAAATGAACATTTCAGTGATCAAGGGACTTCTAGAGTTTTCTGTCCAAAAAGTCAGTCAGATATTTTACCCCACCTATTGCAAAAAACTAAAGGAAAAGACTACAAAACAAAGAGACCTGTACAAGCTACCTCCCAGTGGCATTCCTATAGGCTGTAAGGCCCATATTCACAGCGGAGAGGGCAAACCCTGTGACTAAAGCACCAAGAACTCTGTGTATTTCCGTTCCATCCTAAGGAAGGGTACATCTCCTACCTTCAGACTTCTGGTTCAATTCCCAAGCCATCACAGAAAGAGGTCTGACTGTTAGGGATCTGTGTTAGGATGTTTAGGTCTTCTGCCAGAGAACATTCATTTACAAAAGGCAATTTAAAAGCAGATGTACAAAAAAAAAAAAAAAAGCAGATGTACAATGTAAATGGAGTGTCTCAAAGATCTCTAGCAATTTTCAATTTGGACTGGCCATCTTTTCTAGGAAATGACGCCCTCTCTTGAAATAACTAAATCTCTTAAGGCACTGAAGATCTATTACTTTCAGCTGAGAGCTGAAGGTAGCAAGTAACTAAGAGGACTTAGTTCTACTCTACACCCATCTTGTTCCTCATTAATGCTATCAGAAAGGTCCTAATGTGGGGGTGAAGCTGTGCAATAAAAGAAACCTATTTATTCTGCTACTGAGCCCTTCGTGAATTTGACTTTGTGGCAGAGTCAAATGTAACCACTGTAAACAGGAGTTAAGTTTAGAACTCCACACCTTTTCCTACATATCATATAGCCTGTAGGTTTGAGATTTGAGGTCCTAGGCCAACAGGAATTACCCACAGATTATGATTATTGTCACAGATCTCAATTATGGCTAAAATACAAGACTAAGAGGTTTCAGTTCAGTCGCTCAGTTGTGTCCGACTCTGCGACCCCATGAATCGCAGCACGCCAGGCCTCCCTGTCCATCACCAACTCCTGGAGTTTACTTTAGCCACCATAATTATCACCATTATCACCAGTGAAAACTCCTCAAAGGGCAAAATAGAAAAAATGGAATAGACAACCCAAAATACATCAGTAGCAAATACTTAACCTTTACAGTGCCATCAGAGGATGCACTGATAATATAATGTCCGTCCTGTGTGAAGGTCGCTTCATTGACAAAGGAGGAGTGGCCACGGAATTCCTTCAGGGTTTTTCCAGATTTTAAACCATGAATTCTATCACAAATAAAAGCAAATGAAAAGATCAATTAATATCCTGTACACTGTGGTTGGAACCAAGTGTTGAAAGCATTTTAGATGAATTACAGAAGCTCATGTCAAAATATTAAGAACAGGGACTATGCAATTATGTATGCAGTAGTATTTTCATTATATCTAACAATCAAACAAAACCAAAACAAAAACTTTGCAGAGAGGCTTGAAGAAAATATGCCACTGATACCACAGCTTCTGTTCAGCGACAGACTTCTAGGTCTCTGCTGGGTCCTAAGAATCTGTATTTGTCACATGCTCTCTAAGGTGACTCTGATGCAGGTGGGTCCACAGACCACACTTTGAGAAACATGAAAGTGAAGTCGCTCAGTCGTGTCTGACTCTTTGCGACCCTGTGGACTGTAGCCCACCAGGCTCCTCTGTCCATGGGATTCTCCAGGAAAGAATCCTGGAGTGGGTTGCTATTTCCTTCTCCAGGGATCTTCCCGACTCAGGGACTGAACCCAGGTCTCCCACATTGCAGACGCTTTAACCTCTGAGCCACCAGGGAAGCCCATGAAGTGCTGCTAAAATCCCCTTCTGATCTCTCTTCTGGGTAAAGACCCAAATGGATAACACAATAGCACTGTGTCAGCTGTACTTTGGGGGAATAAGGTCCCACATTTATTTATTACTCATTTATTCCCTAACTGTCCATATAAAGGAATCCTAGTGAAAACACAGAAATCACTAACTAGTACCTCCCTCTGAAGTTTCATCATATCAAACAAAAGTGAGAGCAGTCTGGAAATTTTTACTTACCTAATTGTCTGGTCAAAAGAGGCACTAAGGATCTGACTGCTGTCCTTAGAGAAGCTTAGACAGGTGACACCTTTGCTGTGAGCCCTTTCAAATCTCCTTAAACACTGCCCACTCTGAATCTTCCATACCTTTATTTTTTAAAAAAAAGAATAGTAAAAACTTGTAAATACAGTGTCCCATGCCCCCCTCCTACTCTGCAGAACCAGGCAAAATACAGGGCTCACTAAGGCACTAAAAACAGCATTAAAAATGCATGCCAATAGCTGAATATATGTCTGGTTCTCAAAGTACAATGAAAACTTGAATCCTATGAAACTTAAACCTCTTTCCTTTTAAATTATTAAAACAAAAATTTAGACTCTAATTTCCCTTAGCAGAGACTATTTCTGTATTTTATCTAGCCCAGGGTATTTGACCAGCAATTAAATACAAGCCATAGCTGATCAACTGCTAAGCATCTGCAGACCACCACCCCAAAGCAAAACACACCATATAAGGGAAGCTATGGTGGCACAGCAGAAAGGGCACGAGCAGATCTGAAGTCCCAAATCTATCACCAACTGTGTGACTTTAAATTATTGGACCTCCCTAAGCAGAGTTATTATCAGGATTAAATAAGAAAAACTAAAATGACTGGCATAAAGTTGATGCTCAATAAAGAGTAGTTAAAAAAAAACCCTATGTAGGGACTAGCTCTTCACAGAATTCTCAAAATGTCTACATATAAGAGTTCATGTCTCTAATTCATACCTTGATTTTTCCATCTTGGGCACCAGTTGCTAACATTTCTGTATCTCTGCTGAAGCACATACAGAGAACAGCATCATCCATCATCATAAAGTTATCCTGCGCCTGGTACTTAAGATCCTAAAGGAAACAATGATAAGCAATTATCAAAATTACACAAAAACACCCGTTACCCCAGGTCTCTGCAAACTTACTGGAAGCAGGATAGTAGACTGTGCTGATTAAATCTCCAAAGCAAATAGTAGTGTCATGAATGTTATCCTGATGAACAACTGATAACACTCGGAGTACCTTTTTTACACAATTCAAATAAATATTATAAAAAATACAAACATAACAGCCTACATCTTTTGCTTACTAATCCTTTCTCAGCAAAATTTCCCTACAGTTTCATATTGTACATCTTTAATAAATCTGAATTTCTTTAACGGTATGACATGAGAAATGTTTTTCCATAGTCAGCTACCTTTCCTAAAATCATGTATTGATTATTGTATTTGTTATTTTTCTTTTATCATCCATTACTGTTCATAATGAAATATCTTTATTTTTTCTAATTATAAAATGAGACTGTTTCATGGTTAAAAGAAAAAAAGGCAAACTGTAAAGAAATATACGATGTAGAAAATTGAAAACCACTCATAAATCCACTACATATGGAGTGGAATTTAGTACTCTATCATAAAGATTACATTTTAAATCAGTGGTTAGTCACTAAGTAGCTATTTGGGAAAATTAAGCTGGATCTATGCCAATTTTATCACCCTAATCAAACGCCAGATGGATCAAAAATTAAACACAAAAAGAAACATAGAATTATTAGAATAAACTATGGGATAAAAGATGGATAAAATATGATACAAAAAACTATGACCTGTACAAAGCAAAACCATACATTAAGTCAAAAGACATAAGTCAAAGCTGAAAAATATTTGCAATGCACATTACCAAGGTTGATTTCCTCCAACTATAAAGACCTCCTACAAATCAGTAAGAAGTAGTCCAAAAGAGAAATGGGCAAAGGATATGAACAGAATTCACAGACTAGGAAATACTGGTGGCTTTTCACATATAAAGATATTCCACTTCATTCATGATAACAGAAAGGCAATTAGTACTACTAAAAGGTTAGACTATAAACAATAAGCAACTGCTTACATATACACATAGAATATTCCGTAAAGATTACATAAGAAGCTGGTAACTCTGGGTGCACCAAAGAAGGGAACTGACTGGCTGAGGGACAAAAGTGGGGAACAAGAGCCTTTACTGAATAACTGTTCTGTTTTATAAAATGTTTTATCAGATGTACATCTTACCCATTCAAAAAGTAAATTTAAATTGCAACTATAACAGATAACTTAAAAACAATAACAGATAATTCTCCTATTAGAAAAACTAATATATTTAAAATACTTTACCTTTCTGATTTTTCCAGTTGTAAAGTTCCATACTTCAATGAATCCATCAACGGACCCAGTAACCAGATATTGACCATCTGGAGAAAATCGAGCACACTCCACATGTGATTTCTGACCAAACTGTTTCAAATGAAACAATGAAACAGATGCATTTTTATCTACTGGCCTTGAAACAATTCCCATGTTAATCTTTTGAGAGCTCGGTCCTAGCAGAGAGTCATAGCCAGCCTATATTATGGAGTTTGGAAGGGTGTTTCTGTACCCAGACACAAAGAAATGCTTGATATATTCTCTCCAACCAGTTTAACATTGAGGTTCACCAATGAAAATAATTTGATTTTTTTTTTTTAATGACATTGGTATTTCCAAAGAAAAACAACAAAAAAAACTATTTTAGCAAAGGACTTAGAACAAATAATCCTGTTAACTCAAACAGTAAGTTTTTACCAGAATCAGCCACTGTTAACATGATTTTCACACTAACTTAATATGGCATATGTTCCTATTTTTTTTAATCTGGGGGAAAAAATTCACTTTTTCAAAATAAATGGCTGTTTTCCTACACTGTTTTTTTTTTTCCCCCCTACACTGGTTTTTAAACAAATTTTTTATCACTGTTTCTTTTCATGACCTTAATCTGAACAAGTGATAATGTGTGACTGACTACTGGAAGAGAACTGATTAGAGCTGACAGGAGTGCTTGGGAAATGTATCCGAGCATTTATCAGCACTGATGTTTCCATTAACAGATGGAAACTACAGTACATTAGACAGATGAGAACAGAGGAAAGCTCTGTTATGAGTCTCATTTTAAATGCCCCAAAAGGAGGTGTTTAAAACAGAAAATCTTAGTCCAGCAGCATACTTTAATAGATTTCTATTTGTCACAAGGCTTTTGTCAAGGTAAATAAAAGTGCCGCTCAAAAATATCTTTACATGCAAGTCAGAACATAGAACCCAGAAAAGATAAATTCAAAATATTAAGCCAAAGATGTTATGAAATATTTTTAAGTCTATAAACTCAATCAGAGCACAAATCCAAAAAGAAATTGGAATAAAAAGCAGATGGTGAAGAAGCAAATACAGTTATAATTCTCGGAACTGCAGCAATTACTTCATTATGCTTTTTACTAGAAAAGTCTCAGAAAGAAAAAAAAGGCCAAAAAACTCCAAGAACCAGCCATTAAGATGATAAAATTATTTTCATCAAACACCACTGAAGCCCACTTTCCAGTCCATGCCTAGTCCTTTGCCAAACATATAGCAGGCAAAAACACAAATGTTGAACAGGAAAATTACATAAGAGAGTTCATGGTTCTTAGTCCCAGGTTTAACCTAAGAGCTAAAGCATTTTTCCAAATGCAGGATTCCTGGGACAAAGTCCAAGGGCGGATGATGGGTCAATGTCCAATGAATATCCACTTGGTGATGCAGCTGAAGTGTGCCATTGCCAGGCCACAGGGGACCTCAGTGGTCACCAGCAGCAACCATGAATGTTGTCAGAGCTGAAGAATGACTTCTACTCCCCAATCCAAGCTACTGGCACAGGGCCAGGCTGAGCAAGCACTTGCTGAGTCCCCAACAAGTGATTACCAACTGGGCAGTCCAAGGATCCTACCTTAATATGCCTGCTCAGCTGTGTAGGAAACTTTTCTTCTTCGACATCTTTGACAGCTGCTTTGCCTCTGAACAGATCTATGGTCATGCCAGGAGGAAGCAATCCTTGGTGCTGCTGCCACTTCAATGCCTATGAGAAGAGAAATCCACTTGGGTGCTTTTAAAATCTAGTCCTGATTGCTCAAAGCCTGAAAGTGTGAGGTTCACAGAAGTGTGAGTCATCCAGACCCACCATCTCTGGCCATCCAAACACAACACAGCCTGGGCTATTCTGTGTGTTCTAGGATCAGAGGTTGATCTCAAGGTAGAAGGGGATTCTCAGAGCCAATGGGTGCAAGTTTCTACAGCCATTTTCTTAACAGGTGTGACTCCTATTATAAATAAAATTTGAAAAACAAAAACTTCCCATAGTTCCCAACATCCAAACACAGCTACAATTAGCATTTCATATGTTACATTTCAGTATTTTCCCCCAACATGTTTAATTTATATAGCTGTAATTATACCTTATGTAAAATTTTATACCCTGTTTTCACCTATCATTATATCATGCTATGACATAACCAACATTTTCTATTCTAACATTATATTCTCTACTAGTGGATACTTCATAGCTTATTTAATGTATTAATGGACATTTATATTGCTTCTAATTTTTGCACTCATCTAAATAATGCTGCAGTGAATAGCCTTGGATGTGAGGCTTTTTCTATTATCAGGATATTCTCCCCCAGAATTAGATTCCTAGAACAGAAATTACTGAATTGAAAAAAGAACACAAACAGCTAAGGCTCTTTAGACACACTACCAAAATGTTTTCCCAAAAAGACACAACTACAATAGCAATCACAACTGCATTACAGGGAATGGAAAAACCATGGACATTGAAGACAGACATTTTGTCAACTGAGCTATTCTGAATCCCTAATTTGCCAACCAAAAGTCCAGAGAAAAGCCTAATTCCTAGAGTTGATGAAGGGATGAAACAATATATGTTACATTACACAGGGACATGATCAGTGTTTCTTCTCTTTTCCCTTTCTTATATCAACAAAACTCAATAATTCTGGATGTCAATTAAAAACTCTAATGAGTGGAAAACTATGCCCTACTTTAGTAAATTCTCTGATTAGTCTGATCTTTTCTATTAATACATGTTTGTTAACGACATATACATCTTCTGTTAACTGTTTACGCATGTTCTTTGTTCACTTATCTACTGTTGGCTCACATTTTTCTTATCAATGTGTAAGCTTTGTAACGTGATCAAGATATTGTATCTGTTCATGTTTCCCAAAAAGAATTTTTTCCCCAATCTACCTATTTATTTATTATAGATTTAAAGGTTTCATCTAAGTTAAACTCTCAAGTAATGAAATTTGTTGACCTTAACCTTGATGTCTACTCCCTAAATCACAGGAAGTCCTGTAATAGGAAGTCTGATATATTACTACCTAAGTTGATCTATATTCTTAAAATATGTATCTGAAATTATGATTATAAAATATGAGGGAAGACTCTGATCTGACATTTCTCCCCTATTCTAAAGTAGGTGGCCCAACACCATACGCTAAGTAATTCTTCCTGTCTGTAGGCTCTGTGACAGTCTCATTACCATCTACTGAGTTCTGATAAATAATAGGGTCAATTTATTGCACTGCTGTTGCACTGGATGCTGACTACCAAAATGATCTGAACTACGAACCTCTGTTAAACGCTTCACTATTTCTAGGGCTAATATGTTCAACATTCTTCTTCCTAAAATTTCTTCGATGAATATACTTCTCTAAGTTTATATTTCCAGATGAATACTAGAATTCTTTTGTGATACAGTTCTAAACCCATTGTGAACTGGTATCAAGTCGTCAAGTCTTATCCAGGAAAATCAATATTTTATCATCTTCTCAAATTTATTTCTCCTGGAAGCTTTGAAAGGATTCTGCCGTTTTAAAAAATGAAAATCATTTTTTTCTCACAAGAGTTAGGGCTAGAATTTTTATATTGTAGAAACAAGAACTCTGTTCTCATTGAATATTTGAACTGGCTAGTGCTGATATACAGAAATGCAATCAACTTCTGTATATCTTTGTATATCTTATATCTCACAAATTTACTAAATTTTCAAATTAATTCTATGATCACTATATTATTTCTAAATACTGTTCTATTTTCTTTTCAAAATCCATATTTTGCTTATGTTTCATATTTTACTGTAATGACCAGAGGACTTATCTCCAATCAACGGGTACTCTCTGCACTCTTTACCTTGCAGTTTCAAAGCACTCCCATCTTTTAAAGGAAAAAACAAAACAAAAACCCCTCTCTTGCCCTCTGCTCTTCAGCTACTATGGCCCTCTTCCTTCTACATCACCTTCATCTCCTTCTTTTAAACCAAGCTTCGTAAGTCACCTATACGTGCTGTCTTCACACCTCAGTTAATTTGTTATAACATAGCTTCTGTCCCTATCTTTCCACTGGAAGTGCATCTCAGATATCCCTATGACCAAAACCAGACTCCTTTGTGACCCTAATCTTCTCCATGATCTTGGCTGCTCTCAACTACAATAACCACTCATCTGCTTCAAACTCCTATTGCTTTTTCTAACACTATTCTTCTTGGTTTCCCTTTTCATCTTTCTGGTTGTTCCCTTCTCTGTTCATCCTATGGACTTTAAGTGTCCCCTATGGCTTTCTTCTCAAATTTTTACTTTTCTTAGTCTACCTGCTTTTCCTAGGTAGTCATATTTTCATATATGACTTCAATTACTACTGCAATTTCCAAATCTATAGCCATAGCCAAAACCTCAAAGTTGAAGTTCAGAGCCACAAATCCCAGTACATACACTGGACATCTCCACCTGTATGTCCCATAGGAACTTCAAAATAAGTACATCCCAAACTGATGGTCTACTTCATCCTAACAAACTTGCCCTTCTCTTTATATTTGCCACCAAGTCAGTGAAGCCAGAATCCTAAAAGGGCAACCCAGAATGAAAGCCTCACTCACTCCTCAAATCTAACCATTAAATGTGGAGGACAACATGAGTTTTATTTCCACTCTTTCTAGAAACCCCACTGAAGTGACAATAATAAAGGAATAAAAAAGGTACATAACCCAAAAAGGCAGAGAGAATGAAAAAAGTAACAGCAGAAGAAAAACGTTAAATTTAAGAAGCTGCAAAGAGAATGGACCAGCTTGGAAACCAAGAAGAACAGATAAAAATGAAACCTAATTACACAAGATGGGGATGAAGGAGCCATAAGCAGTAAGCCAAACTACCCTGCAAATTCCAAAAAAGCTTAGGAATTGAAGGAGCCACACATCCCCTCAAGGACAAGGCAGGGCATATGGCAATGATAAAATTTGAATGAAGAGCAGTTAGCATCCAGGACCTATCTCAACCCTATGCATCAGGTGACTGCCTTGTCCAAGCCTCGAGAGAAGCTGCACGGTCGATTTTCTGGAAAAGTCGAGATCCCAGGTTATGGAAAAAGGTGGAGCTGAGGGGCAGAGTGTAAGAAAGAAGCTTCATGAAAACAGCGGGATTAAGTGCAAGCTTGTATGCTGAACAGGGAGATTTCTCTAACCTCCACCCCGAGGCAGGAAACTAGAAGACTACTCTTTGGAAAAGTTATCAGTCCAAGACAATATATCTACAGACACATGAGGACCTTCACTCAATCAATTTTATCAATTCTCAAACTCCACCTTCCATCCCTCCCCACACAGTTTTCAGCTTTTCAGTACATCACTCTTAAATCTGAGGGAAGCTTTTTTTTTTAACACTGGCACCAAAACAAACAGGTAGAAAAAAAGGAACTCAAAGAAAGTAGGGACACAATAGGGAGGAAAATAGTTTAAAAACTTGAATAGAGACCCATTGTATAGCACAGAGAACTGTACTTAATGTCTTCATCTGATAATGACCTATAATAGAAAAAAAATCTAAAAATTATATATATTCAGTTATATATATGTATATACACATATATATATAAATATATAGAGAATGAGAGAGGGGGGGAAACAGGGAGGACGGGAGAGAAGGAGAGAAAAAGAAAACAGCATCACTTTGCCATAACCTGAAAATAACACATCAATGTAAATCAACTATGCTTTAACACACCAGCAACAACAAAAACAATTCAGGAACAAAGTAACTGGCACTCTCCTCCCAGTTTCCCTATTGTAGGGACTCGATTTCTATGTGTAAGAACTAGAGGACAGATTGAATACTGAACCAACCACCTTACCCATTATCCCATCCCCACCCTCTTCTTTAGTTTATGCATGATTTCTCAACAAAAAGTTGAGCATACCCTTGCTCCATACCCAGTTTGGGAGCTAGGCATAAAATTTAGCCTATTATATTAATGGTGTGTCCGACTCTTTGTGACCCCGTGGACGGAAGCCTACCAGGCTCCGCGGTCATGGGGTTTTCCAGGCAAGAATATTGGAGTGGGCTGCCATTTCCTTCTCCATGGGATCTTCCCAACACAGGAATCGAACCTGGGTCTCCTGCATTGCAGACAGACACTTTACCGTCTGAGCCACGAGGGAAGCCCTATTAATGGTGCAAGAGTATGGGGCACCAGATCAAATTACGCCATTCCCACCAGTGATAACTTTCTTTAAAATATCACCCTAAGGCTCTGTTCCTGGCCTTCTTAACACATCCCCACCCATCAATAGAAAATTGGATTAAAGATTTACTGAGCATGGCCCTGCCCATCAGAACAAGACCCAGTTTCCCCCTCAGTCAGTTTCTCCCACCAGGAAGCTTCCATAAGGCTCTTATCCTTCTCCATCAGAAGGCAGACAGACTGAAAACCACAATCACAGAAAACTAACCAATCTGATCACATGGACCACAGGTTTATCTAACTCAATGAAAGTATGGGCCATGCCATGTAGGGCCACCCAAGATGGACAAGTATGGTGGAGAGTTCTGACAAGAACTGAAAAGGGAATGGCAAACCACTTCAGTATTCTTGCCTTGAGAACCCCATGAACAGTATGAAAAGGCAAAAAGATAGGACAGATGAACTCCCCAGGTCGGTAGGTGCCCAATATGCTACTGGAGATCAGTGGAGAAATAACTCCAGAAAGAATGAAGAGAAGGAACTAAA